TCAACGGGATTAGTTTGTGCTGACAGCAAAAACTGGAGCCGTTTAGATTTGGATGATGTAATTTTCAACCTTTGTTATTCAACTTCCAGTTTCATGGGCGAGGTTAACCAGGTGATCTAATTCTGAGTTCAACAGCCAACAGTAACTAGTAACTTTGTAATTGACAGAGCACAATGCACTCTTAATATTTATGTATTTATTTATTTATATCAAATGACAGGCGTTTTGGTAGTTATCATTAGCTCTTCACTTGCCTTCAGGCTTCACAGAGGGGAAGGAACATCAAAGTGAAAAAAGTCGAGAAAGGGGAGGGGGGACAGAAGAGTGTCTCAAAGATGTAGAAGAGACGGACAAAAAGTAGAAAAAAAGGTGAGGTGAGTACTGTGGAAGTCAGAAGTCAACTGCCGAATAATAGACTTTTTTGCCGTATGAGTATACGTTGCCCAGAGTGCACCATGTGGAGGTAAGTCTATCGCGCACCCCACTCTTAATATAAATATAAAACTTTTATTCATTCCGCACAATTCCATTATTTGAAAATACAATTTATTTAGTCTTCTACACGGGGTTAGCATAACGGCTGCCAAATAAATCCAGACAGACCGAAGCACATTTCTAGTAAACTATCCGTATATTCGCATATCAATGATGTCAAAGCGATAAAATGTGTTGTTTTTTTCAAAACGGCACTTTTCATAACTAACCTAAATGAGCATAAACAGGCCATGTATTGTAAATAAGCCGTTGCTGGTAGTACAAATCACCTTGACTGTAGTTCATCAACAATAGCTAAAATAGCCTGATTTTAGTGATAAAACGCCTCTTCACCTCTTGGGGTATATTTTCAAGACTAATGACATGTTTGTATGAATGCTTACTTCCTTTAAAAGTCTTAATTCCAATTCAACGAGATTAGATGACTAGAACTCATAGCATCATGGTAAGGATTAATTTGTAACATGATTTGTGTCGGACATCAGGAAATAAAGAAATGGTCAGCATTAGTCAAGGCTTTTCCAGCATCATGAAAATGATTAAACCGGAACTGAAGAAGAAGTGAAATTGAGACTATTGTGCCATTGAGGCTTGAAAAAGTGGCAGTATAATTAACAAGCTGTTTGCGCTCACACGGTGGAGTTTCCAGGACATCTGCTGTGCAAAAGCACCCAAAGCACCTTGACTTTGTCATCGCACCAAACTGGGTGTTTCAACTTCTACCAACAAGAACACCTGCAATCAAGACCTTCGATACTCTATATCCATAAAAATCGTGGTAGAGGTCTTCCCCTCACAGAAAAATAATTTTGTGGCAAGGCAACGGAACGTCAGGACAAAGTGGATCAACCTACTGAAGGCATTTTTTGCACGAATTATGGCGAAGTTTAAAAAAATATATTGAAAGGGTACAATTTCGTCAGCAAATTTAAGTTCTTCATTTTAGGCATCGGAATTTTTTTTGCAATTTTGGCAGTCAGAATTCGCTTTCGTTATTTATGTCTTTATGACTCATTTTTGGAAGCTACCACGGCCACACCCTCCATTTACTATTTCTGAATTCTTGATAGGCCTGAACATGCATTGAACTATAAAAGCTTCTCTAATCCTGTAAAAATTGGTCAATTCTTATTGAAAGATCAATTTTTTACGTTAAATTTAGGTTGTTAGCGCAGATGGTCAACTTCGAGGTACTTGTTACACTCCCGAATCAGCTATTAACCCACTTCGGCTAACCGCCGTTGATCGAAAACGAAGTCGTGGACGAAGCTCTCAGGACTTAAGTAGGGATTCAGGACGAAGCAGCAATCGTCTGAACCGTCCAATCAAACGTGATCGGCGTAATGCGGTGGAATTCTCCGAAAATTCGGACCTTGAAATCGCGTCCTCTGTTCGAGAAACTCGCGCTGCCGATGCTGATCTATTGGGCGAACGGATTCAACAACAGAAAATTGCTTCATGTGACCGACCGCTGGAAAATCTTGGAGTCCCTATTTGTTTGCATGTAAGTTGCTTTTTATTGCAACCAATCGGCAAAGTCTTTCGGAAAATGTCATGGCTCAAGGCCACGGGAAAAGTCCATGAAGACACTTGAAGAACATTCAAATATTTCGGTTTTGTCTATGTTAATTTCTTGTTCACTATTAAACAGACTCGTTAGCAAGAAAACTATAATTACGAAGTACTCAGAAGCCTATTATCTACTATTAAACAAAGGATATATTTACGAGAATTCTCTGTAATCAGTCGAATATCTATGTTCCACCTTAGCTATTGCAATATAGTAAATTAACTTAAATAAATTTCAACAACTCATTTTGGTAAATAAGAATGCTTAAAAGATTTTAACTTTAAGCAGATATTAAAACAAAATATTTGGGTCTTTTGTGGATTTCGAAAAATCAATGGGTGAATTCAAAAGTAGTTTATGCGGTTTCAATTGATTCATTAAGTTGACAAAGGAATATATATTTATATTTTTTTCATTTTGAACAGATTCCTTGTAAAATCGATCGTCTCGGACGTGGCGATGCAGTTCGAATTATCTTCCGCGGGTGGGTGTGGGCCGACACTCTCTTCCGCCATAAATTCTCCGACATAGCCCTCGTTACCACGGCAACCGCTCAAATTCCCACTCACGCATTTGGAATCCCTGTGTCTGGCAATCTCACCGTAGCTACCCTTATAGTCTCCCAAAATTTCGTATTTGAGGGCATCAAAATGATCATCACTCAAACTATCCCTATCATCCCTGTTATTATTGGTGTGGTCCTAGGTATTTTATTGCTTATAATAATCATTATTATCATGTGGCGGTGCGGATTTTTCAAGCGCAAGAGACTGGCAGACGATGCCGCGGTGGCAAGTGCAATAGCAAATGGTGAAAATGGACACAAACCCGTTTGAAACAACTTGAACAAATTGAATTCTAGTCAACCTTTTGTGCCTTCTAGTACCAATGTCTACTTACTTTTATCTCTTGACTATTTTTGGCAGATGTACCCACCCGACCCGACCCATTCCCCCTCCCCCTCTCCAACTCCTCTCTTACTCTTCATCTCCTGTTGGTCATCTCCACTTGTTTCAGGAGTTATGTACAGACTTCCCAATCATATAGTTTATATGTTTACTTATTTACGCGATTATGCATGCATTTATATATGCAGCTCTTATGCAGCCATGACTTCTTCATTTCATCTCGTATTAACAATATGCCTCTCTCTCTCTTTTTCTTTATCTCTCAATTGTTTTTTTTTCATGTTCGCGCTCAAATGTTTATGATCTTCTCTAATAGAGAGCGACAGTGTAAAGAGTTTGCCTTATAATGAAAATGACATTTGAAAAAAACGCTAATTTTACAACTGATGGGGGGCATATATAGGTTTGTTTTAATCTGTGTCCAATTGGAAGATTGTTTTAATCACTCGGCTAGTCCTTATGAAAATCAATAAA